TGTCCATGCACCCTATGGTGAATTTATGGCCCTGCTGGATGGAGCGTGAGCCCCAACGAGCTTCTTACCCAGCAGGGAAGGAACTGAGGAAGTGGATTCTAAAGGAATGCAGAGTCCGACGGAGGGTTTCTTACTGCCGCTCTGCATAACCCTAACAGGATGGCCCAAGTGCAAGTCCACTATGTGGAAAACGGGGGTTTTCAGTCAACGGGTGCCAAACGCCTACTTTACACCAAGTAGAGCTGGCATCTCATGCTGTTTGCCTGGCTGGCCCAAGGCAGCTCACATGGGGCCCAGACCCACCTCTGTGGTAGACAACCTTCTCTGCGTATGATTTAAGATTCATATGAAACCTTCAGGCTGGACCCAATCAAAGGAACCTCAGCTGGGAACTGTTTGAGTAATAGATGCTGGTGGGGTCTTAATCTATCTGCTCAAGTTGATGGATTTCCACGCCAATGACTCTCAGGTGAAGAAAAACATCAAAGTGAAAACCAGGTTCTAATGGTTGGCAGGTGTGCACTGATTGCCAACAGCCCTTTCTGCGCCCTCCTCCCCCAAGGGGAACACACCACAAATTTCAGGGTTCACCAGGGACATCACATAGCAGAGACGTCCAGAGCCACACAGAAGAGCTCACTCACACTAGCTCTGAACCCACACACCGTGGACTCAGGGTCAGTGCTGGCATGGAGGCGAGCAGAGGGCAGGTGTTTGTCAGTAAAGCAGTCCCTCCTTTATCCGCGGTTTCGTTTTCCACAGTTTCAGTTACCTGCTGTCCACCACAGTCCAAAAATATTAAGTGGAAAACTCCCGAAATAAATAATTTGGGAGTTTTAAATTGTGCACCGTTCTGAGTAGCATGATGAAATCTCGCGCCATCCCGCTCCGTCCTACCTGCGATGTCAATCCTTCCTTTGTCCAGGTCCCCACCCTGTACATACTTCCTGCCCAGTAGTTACTTCGTCTTGGTTATCAGAGCAACTGTTTTAGTATCACAGTGCTTATGTTCAAGTCACCCTTATTTTACTTCATAATGCCAAAGCCACATAGCTTTTATTACAGTATATTGTTAAATTGTTCTATTTTATTATTAGTTGTTGGTGTTAATCTCTATGTTTAGTTTAACTTCATCATAGGTATGTTTGTATAGGAGGAAACACAGACTATACAGGGATCGGTGCTATCTGCAGTTTCACACATCCATTGGGGGTCTTGGGATGTATCCCCCATGGATAACGGGGACTACTGTTTCTGCCCTCACCTATTTAAGACAAGCAAGAGCACCCCACATTTCGATGGATGGAAAGAGAGAAGAACGAAGCCTGGTACGGGTCCTCTAAGTCAGGAGTGATACATTTACAGGGGAAAGCAGAAAGGTGCAGCACTCATGTGCTGGAACACAAGCCCTAACGAGAGACAAGTACCTTTTCCACAACAGGCCTCCATTCTGACTCAGGTTCAACACCATGGAGAGAAATCAAGAGCCCAGCCCCTCAACTGGACAGGGCAGCGGGCCTTCCTGCTGCTCTGATCACACACAGTGTCCCATAATGGCAGCTGTGAGGATATGGACATATGACCACTAGGGGCTGGGCCAGAGTCCACCACTATTTAAGATACAAAAAAAAAAAAAAAAACCACTCAAGGAAGGCAATGGTGAGCTCTTCACAAAAGGAACCGGGCAGTCCAGAGAAAAGGAAACATCTCCCATCTGATGTCTAGGGCGCTCCAGCCTCCTCTAGCCAGGAGGCAGGCGGAAGAATTCAGTGACCGTTCACCTCGATTTAAAAACTGGCTCTCACACAGTCATCAAAACTAGACAATTCCAGGCAAGGGAAATAATATCACCAGGTTTTGAGTTTTGGTTTTTGTTTCTTTTTTTGCAGATTAGCCCCACCCTCTCTCGTGTCCGGATTAGAAATTATCTCACACTTTCGGACAGTTCAGCCCTAGCACAGCAACATATGTCCCAGCATTCATGGCACCAAGAGAAGTGACTCTGGGCCCAGCGTGAGGTCAAATGACAAACCGGAAAGCTACGCCTCTGCTTGAATCTCCTGAGGCTGCCGCTGTCTCCTCCAACATGAAAAAGGAAGAGAAGGGGAATAAAAGCCTCAGTTGAAAGAGAGGGTGGGAGACCCATCAGGAAGTCAAATACATCATAGCCACCTGAGTAGGTGCAGCAGAAAGTAAGTTAGGGAGTCTCCCTGACCAATAATGAATAATCTACCAGGGAAGCAGGGTGGGGTGGGGACTGGGAAGGGGTGAGTCAGGAGGACTGTGTGAGAAGTCCAGTGCCCTCCCCGGGTCAGCAGCATCTGGGGCTGTTTCTCTAGCAGACAGTAAAGAACTCGATTACATCCAGTTAACTGTGCTCTAAACTGATTATGCATGTGCTGGGCTAATGGATTACATTAGCAAGAGGAAAAATAACATGCAATCAATCTCCATTTACTACAGGCCACACCAGGGCCCGGAGAAAAACTGGCTCTCAAACCACCTCCAGACCCCACCCCAAATCCGTGGAGTTACGGAAACCATGCGAGAGGGAGCCCCCTCGGGGGCAGGAGAAGTTTGTCTTGGTCACACTGTGGGACAAAAGGCCTCGGTGCAAGCCCTGGAATGAGAAGCCCATCTCTGTGCCGTTCGGGAGTGGGTGGGGGAGCTCCCTGCCCCCACCACAGAGCCACGGCAAGCTGAGGACCATCCGTTACCCAAGGACTAATGAGACCAGACTAACGACCTTCGGCTCCTGACACAGGGAATTCTGCCCTGAAGGGGCGCTGGTCAACCCCTCGGGTGTGCCAACCAAACACACTGTCCGGCACCTCTCCTTGAGGCGCTGGTTCCCATGCTCCACCCTGTATCCCAACACCTATAGCCCTTCTATCTACACTGCCTCTTTTGAGCAGAAGTTTCCTCCATCTTTAAAAAAAGAAAAAGAAAAATGAGAAACTTAGACCAGGGAGGATGAAGGGCCAGAGCTGGTTCAGCAAAACACAAATGGAAACACACCAACAGCTTCCCTCACGTCCATGCTGGAAACTGCTTCAACCTGACTCTCGAGGTGTGACCCATGGACATGGTTCGGGGACCCAGAAGGGGTATGCTCAGCCAATCCTCCTGCTTCCAGGCCTTCTGGAAGCAAAGCCCAGGGCCTGGTACACTCTTACTGGGGAACAGAGCGTGGAGTTAATCACCACTGTGCACATTTTACAACCAGAAGGGCAACTTTTTCCTCGGGTGGAAGAGGCTGGCCTTGTGCCACCTCTAAATGACTTTCAGCAATGTGGCATACTACCTTCCATGGCCACACTCAGTCCTCTGTACTAACTTTGCTCAGTTGGGTCCTTTGGAAACTCCTTTTTCCACTGGTTTTTCCGTCAGGCTTCCTCCTGGACCACATTGGCACCCCCCTGTGGCCTGTGAAGACCTTCAATTTAAACTGACCGCAAGGAGCCTTTGCTTTCAATAGTGAAACAAAGCTAAGCCACCCTGTGAGGTTCTCGATTACGTAGGGACAGGGGGCTGGCTACTTGGTGTCCAGACCTTCCCCACTGTACCACTCGAGCCCATCCACATTGGAGTCAGCAGTCAGTTCCAGAACATTCTATTCCCACTGCCTCAGGCCTGCTTTCTCAACTCCTTTGCCTAACATGGTTTCTCATCCCTGTTAACACGGGCCTCTCGCCAGCCTGAGAACTAGCAATTGTAACATGCATTAGTTCTCCATCTCCACAGAGACCTTACGGGGGAAAGGATCAGACGTCTTCCTTATTTGGAGTCTCTATTTAAAATCACCACGAGTAGCAGGGGGATGACAGTAGCCTAGGGTCAGCAGAAACTCGGCACTCACTGGCCCAAAGACGTGGGAAACGGTGTGAGAGAAAAGAGGAGCGGCTTCACAGTGCAGGGGAGGAAAATGGAAAGAGCGGGCAAGGGCGTGGAAGGTATGTGGAAAGAGGCTAGGCAGATTTATGGCGATTTGTACCTGATTGTTCATACTAAAGCCATTATGGGATGATTAGAGAAAAAGGTGAGGCTTTAAGTCCAGTGGAAATCAATAGAAACGTCTGGAGCAATTCTGCCGTGCAAGTGAAAGGACTATTTACAGTATCTGAGCACCTCCTCCTTGTTACCGTCTATGGACTGGAAGATGGCTGGAGGGGGCGGGGCGGGGAGGGGTTCGACGGGAGGGAGGGTCTGAGGACAGAGGGGAAGATGGAAGAAGTCTGGAAAAAGCCGTAAAAATACGAGGAAGAGAAAGGGGACATAGGACACGGGAAGACAAGGGGAAGAAAACCCTCGTTTTCCCATAGCATTTACCACCTTCTAGCCTCCTATGCAATGTATTCATTGTGCTTATCACCCTTCTCCCTCCAAAAGAATGGAAGCTCTATGAGGGCAGGTATTTCTTGTCTATTTTGTGCATGGTGGCAGGTATGTGCCCGGAACAGTGCCTGGTATATAGTAAGTGCTCAGTGTGTATATCTGCTGAATTGAATGAACTGAATGAACAGATGGACAAAGCACCCCAGGGACATCCAGGGGAGAAGAGATTTTTATAAAAAAAACAAACAAATAAACAAAAACGAGTGGAGGGATAATGAAATAGAAAAGGAGAACAGAAAGCATGCCGGGGAGAGGGAAAATGCAGGGGCTCCAAGGTACACAAAAGCCAGAGCTCGGGAAACAGAATTATGAGTTAGGGAAAAGGGTCCATTGTAAAGACCGTTAGGGGGTCCAGTATCGGGCTGCTGTAAAACAAACCTGCCCCTCCCAAGTGCAGAAGCCCACAAAGAGGATCTTCAGGTACCAGCTGACGCCTGCCACCACACTGCAACATCACGAGGGAAGGGGATGCCAACTCCGCTTCCAACACCAGGTCATCGTACAGCCACCATCCCGGCCATGACACAGACCGTTCATCCACACTCCGCCCCTTGTCATCGCCCAGGGAGCCCATCCACTCCTTCCGGAGGCAGTCTGGGTCTTACCTTGTACAACTTCAGGCTGGCCTCGTGCCTGGAGTTGACCGTGTGCAGCCGCAGCTTCTCCAAGCTGTTGGTGTAGTAGTCGCAGGCGTTGCACTTGAGGTGGACGGGGTTGCCGATGGCCACGCACTTGAGCCGCCACTCGTTGGCTTTGCCCCCCTCCTTGATGTGGGCCACCAGCTGGTACTTCTGCACGTGCTTATCTGTCTTGCAGTGCAGCTGGAAGTTGGCCTTGAGCTGGGTGTTGTAGCGGCAGAGCTTGCACTGGTACGAGTCCCCCATCACGGCCTTCCACTCATCCTCAGGGAGGCTGCGCTCCACATTCATGTGCAGCCCCAGCATGTCCAGGTTGTCGGTGGTGAACTTGTTGCAGACGGCACACTGGAAGAGCTTCAGCGACGGGTCATTGGTCTGGATGAAGCTCTCGCCCAGGTTCATCAGCTCCTCCGACACCAGCTGCCCGCCCCCGAGACGCATGTCTAGGGGGATCTCACCGCCCACTGTGGGGAAGGAGAGGGGACGAGAATCAGAGGCCAGGCTCACAGCTGCAGCCATAACTGAGGCACCATTCAGCCTTCCTCTTCCCTCAACCCTGGTTCAAAGGTGATAAAAGACCACATTTCAAGTGTTGCAAGGTGCTACGCTAACTAGAAAAACCAGCACCCCACCAACACCCGCCAAAAAAAATCAACTTCATGCATTCAGATCTTTCTAAAAATTTGTGGAAGGCTTTATGTGTTTGTTTGTTTGTTTTCTTTTGGAAAAGAACATCTAGAAAAAGGTAGGAACCATAAACTCTTGAAGATTTCAATTCAGCCCCTTGCTTAGATCCAAGAAAAGCTAGAAATAAGCCTCATTCACTGGGCATAACAGAAACGGAAACTCGAGGCCCCAAAAAGTTAGAAATGAGTTAGAGCTGCCATCTAAGGTACCGAGCCTTTACAGTGAGTCAGAATCGGGCCCAGCATTTATCTAAAGCAGCGCCGTCCAATTGAACTTTCCATGATGATGGAAGACGTTTTATACCTGCACTGTCCCATGGGGTGGTCGCTGGTGACGTGTAGCTACTGAGCACTTGAAATATAGTGATGGTACAACTGAGAAACTGAATTTTTTGTTTTATTTATTTTTAATCCGTTTACATTTGGATGGCCACATGTGGCTAGTGGCGACTGTATTGGACAGCACAGGCCAAAATCTGAGATTTCCGGAACAATCTCCCTATTCTTCATCACATTCCGCTGATTACTATCCTACCTGCCCATCAGTGGTACCAGCTCCCCCCGCTTTTCCCCAAGAATACAATCTTTTCCCCTTTCTGAGCCCCGACACTGCATGGAATGTAGGGCTACTGTGTCACATGTCACCTTCTCCTTTGTCATAAGTCATCCACATACACAGCCACAGGCTGGCCAGTGTCCCCATCGGTGCTGCCTTTTTAGGACAAAGGGACAGTCTTCTCGTCACTGAACCTCTAGAAAATCCCAGCCCCCTGCACAGATGTTCCAATGTCTGCTCTGTCAGACAAGGGCAAAACGGAAACAAAACGTCACAGATCTGGAAAGTGGATTGAGATGGGCACTGAAATGCAAACGTCAGCTCACGGTCCCCAAAAAAGGGTCCACGGAAGCTCTGCTCCTTCCTCACCACCTCTGTTCTTTCTCAGTCTCCATCACTGCCCTGCATAAACCAGGAACGGGCTCTCATTCGCCAGCGGTAAATTAATACTTCAAGCTCTCATTTAGATCACGAGAAAGGCTTGGAAAGAGCAGCCTTTCCTCCATTACCTGGAAGCCGACAGCCAAGCAGCACGCTGAGCGCCGGCTTCTATTTTTCCGCCTCTCCCCTAAACACACACACACTTGAGCTATTCTGCCCCTGCCTCTCCCCAACTGGTATTTAAACTTGACCTTTTACATGTGGTTGGGCTGATGTTCCTTTTCTTTTAATGGCTGATTAGAATCCAAGTTCATGGGTAATCAAAGGAAAGACGTTATATATACTTCTGATGATTTTTCTTATTCATGCTCCACGAGGCACCCCAGGTGAGAAGGTCAGTCCAGGCTTTGTGGAGCAGACCCACTGTGTCTGAAGCCTGTGGACAGTCTAGCAAGCCCCAGAAATCTTTTGCATGTGCTTTCCAGAAGGGTCGGGAAGCTTTCTGCTTGTTTTCTCTCTTGCAATCTCCCCTGGTGAAAGGAGCCCTAAGTAAGACATTCTTTTCAGGACAAGAGAGGGGGGAAAGGCCTAAAAACTCCATACCTTAATAGGGCCAGGGGCCAGGCAGCATCCACGAAACATACACAATGTTCACTGAAAGTGGAAACTGCCCGGAGGGTGAGACAAGGAGCAAACACATATTTGTTTCTGATGCCAACCACCTGAAGCATCAAATCTTCTCTACTTTTTTAATTTAACCTCAGCACATCGATATCGCTCTAAAGAGAAATTCGACGGTCACATGTTGGAAGCCTCAGTGAAAACGAGACATCCTAGGGACAGGCAGAGGACTAAGTCCCTACAGAAATGCAAATCAAAGACAGAAACAGAGGAGCAGTGAAATGAGGGTGACGGGCAAGCCAAAACTCTCTCCGAGAACCAGATCTTGGAGAAACACACCCAGGGCTTAGACTCCTACAAATTCATAAAGCCGGAAGGAGCTAATTCAGCCTCCAAGAAGTAGAACCTCCCCTAAGTCACAGGGCTTAGGGGGAGAGCCCCAGTAAGTGAGAACTTAGCAGGCATTTACTTTCGAGCCACACTGGATAGACGGTCTTGGAAAGGAGCGGGCCCCCATCTCTCCACACACATCTTACTTTAACACTGGAAATTTATGCCCTGGCACATGCGCCTGCCCATCAGCACATCGTCAGAGAGGCACATGGATGAAAAGACATCTCCCAGGCTCAAAGGCAGCGCAAAGAACCCATTAAACCTCATGCAGGTGTCCTGTGGCCAGCTGGCCACTTGCGAAACATATGGATGCCCCCACAAGCTATCGGTTTCTTGGTGCTGTGCTAAACTGTAGAGTCTAAAGGGCTGTTTAGAAAGACAGTCAGACGGCCTCAAGTCTGTATCTTATCTACAAATGGTAGCACATCCAACCAGACTAGACCAAGGGTGCTGACCCTTTCCTTAAAGGCCTCTAGAAAGAAATCCCCCAGAATCATCCTGTTTGATATCACAAAAGAGAAGTTTCTTTTTTTATATCACAAAAGGTAGTATGAAAATAACTTTGTAAGCAGGAGTGCATCACACACACACACACACACACACACACACACACACACACACACACACACACACNGAAATCCCCCAGAATCATCCTGTTTGATATCACAAAAGAGAAGTTTCTTTTTTTATATCACAAAAGGTAGTATGAAAATAACTTTGTAAGCAGGAAAGCAGGACACACACACACACACACACACACACACACACACACACACACACACACACACATTTCCCTCTACAGAGCCCACTAATCTCTAATAACCTATAGCTTTCTCACAAATGGCCTAAAAAAATAACAGTAGGGCTGCAGATGGAACTGGCTCTTCTTATTTGCATATGTCACTTCTACTGAGGTCATACAACTTAACGTCCTTTGGACATGTCCTGTCATACCCACGCCCAGTCAGGCTTTAGCATAAAGCATTTGTGGCTTTCGTTCCATCTCAACAACAGCTCTCGTGGCCTAAGGCACACGCAGGCGGCTTCCACAGACGCGCGTCAGCTGACAAGCAGTGACACCAGAAATTCAAGGGCCCTTCCTGGCTGACCTGGGTTAGGTCCTTAGAAAGAAGAGCTCTAGTCTACGGCCATACCACCCTGAACGTGCCCGACCTCATCTGATCTCGGAAGCTTAGCAGGGTCGGGCCTGGTTAGTACTTGGAGAGGAGAAAGAAGAGCTCTATTTTCTTTAAGCGATAAAGGGGGGATCTTTGGTGTATATCCAGAGCATAGGGATTCATTCTTCTATTTCTTCTGCATCCGCCAGACAGCCATAATGCATGATGCCCCAAGGATTCACAGACACTCAGGGTAAAAGCAAACTCTCTCTCTCTACCTCTCCACCCCAGCCGAAGTCAGAATTACGGGTTTTCAAGATAATTAAAAAGATCTCACTTTGACCCAGTATGAACCCATCCATTTTCTGTGTCTTCATTCCACTTACATTATATTTGATTTACTCTAAGATCTGCCTCCTCAAGAGTTTAAATCTCCAGACTAGAAAACCCCAATTCCCAAAGGCTTATACAAAAATAAAAAAAAATAAAAAACACAGAGTACTGATGCCATGTCTTGGTGTGCATCCCCTCTGGGTTTACTCTGGGGACAAATAACACAATTGATCCTCTGCACCCACGATTCACCAGTCAGTAAGACATCTTCAAATCATTTGGTAATAGAGGATCAACAGGTCAGTGTTCCAAAACAGAAAACAAGATTAAGGTAGCAAAGATTCAAGTTTAAATGCGTAGCAGGAAAAAACAAATGAAATGTTATGATATATAACTCATCAGCAGCAACTGGCACTAAAACACCGCACAAATAAAGACATGTCAACTGGTGAAGTTTGTTCCCCTGGCACTGACCTAAACCATGCCAGAATAAAAGTACTTGCTCACACTTTGTTGCCGAGAACAACTTATCCCATGCCAGTAAGGGGATACTGCTGAATTCAGGCCATCACCGCTGGTCCCAAGAGGTTCACAGGGTCAGAGAATGGAGACCAGGCCATGTCAGTCCAAAACTCAGGGTGGGGGAGGGAGTGGCCCAACCATCACACTGGTGCTAAAGAAACTGATTTGTACATTTCCTAGCTATAGAAGCTCTCCCTGCAAAGTGGTCAAGATTCTTTTATGTAAAGACTCATGGTTTTCAGCATCCAAATCCTATCCTCTTGGTCCCATTCTGTATCTATGAAGCCAATCGGTAAGGCTCGGTGTCTGGACACAGCCAGCTCACCTTCTCCAACGTGGGTCGTTTTTCATGGCAACAAAGGCTCCATTAAGCAGGATCTAACTGATATTAAAACTTAGCTTTCTTTGATGTACAATTTTAGAATTGACTCATTTCCATCTATCACACCAGTCCTTACAGTGCCCCAGAGCAATTTAATTCCCAACTATACAAATCACCGACGGCTCATGCAAAACAAGAACGAAAAGAGAACACATCTCTTTCATGGAGATCCTCGTAAATATACAGGAGAACTTTGAGAAACCTATCGGGGTGGTTCCCAGCTCAGCACAGAAGCAGCCTCTGGTTATCTGAATAAAGTACGCTCCAGTTTCTAGTTCCTCTTGTGGGGATGACTGTTCCTATTTAAAACTCAAGCTACCGTTTCCTGTAAGTTTCAATAAATATTTAATGGGATCCAAAAGTTGCAGATAATTGTGGCGATTTTTCAAATGGAGCAAGAGACAGAGAAAGAGAGAATGGGAATAGGGAGGAAGGTTGACCAGAAGCCAAAAACTAGAGGAAACACTTAAATTTTAATCCTGGCCTTTGAAGGAGCTGGAGTCTAATCACATCTCTGTTGAATGCATCCAATCTTCCATAGACACACACCGAGTTCAAGGGATTCTTGAGACACATGTTTGATGGTCAGACACTCAAGTTTACACACAATGACTCAAGGGGGGGGGGGAAATCATCCGAATCCATAGGACCTCAGCCTATTTTCAATTTTCCCCAGTTTACGTCCCATCATAGAACAAACAAACACGGAGTCAGCCTCACCTAGAGCAGGCGTCATGGCGGCCATGGGCCCCGAGGGATCCAGCTGGAATCCACTCATCATGAACGGGGCGTCCGAGGCAGCATTGTCCATCTTCAGGTTGGGCAGGTTCAAGTTCTGGGCCAGGTAGTATTGGTAAAGCTCGGCCTCGGCGGGCGAGGGCAGGCCGCTGAGGCCCAGGTGGCGGTTGTGTTGGATCTGGGTCATGTTCTGCTGCAGCAGCATCATGTTGTGCATGTGCTTCTCGCTGGTCATGTGGATACGGAGGTTCCTCGCCACGTTGGTTTCGTAATCGCACACCTCGCACCGCCAGGTGGGTTTGGTTTTTGGTTTTGTGGGCGAGGGGGCCCCGCAGGAGCTGCTGATATTGGCCGCAGCGGCGGCGGCCACGGCTGCCGCCGCTGCCGCCCCAGCGGTGTGGCTGAAGACCTGCTCCCCGCCTCCGTTCTGCAGGTTCTGCATGTTGTTGAGATGCTTGTCGGACTGCATATGAATACTGAGGTTGCCTTTGGTAGTTGTGGAGTAGTTACACACCTCACAGCGGAAAGGCTTGTAACCACACGTGTAGCTCTCACCTCGTGCCAACCGAGGGTGGGGCTGCCCACTTTTACAATAGACACAGGAGCCCCCCGGCTCCGGGTGCTTCTCCTTCATGTGCGCCTCCAGTGTCTGCTGGTACTTATAGTGCCAGTTGCACTTGGGGCACTTGAGTGTCTTACACGAGTTACGAGAATGCATCATGGTCATGTGGCCACCCAGCGAGCGGGAGGAGCCCAGGACCGTGTCACATTTGGGGCACTCCACACCGCTCCCCGAGGGGCACTCCCCAACCCCAAGCTCGCAGAGGGAGCCAGCATGCTGGTGATGAGGGACAAAGCCCCCATCATCGCCCTCTGTGCTTTCATTTGGTTCTGGTGCTGTGGCATTGTCTTTATTGGCACTTTCGTCAGCAAAGTCCAGCCTCCTGCCGCCCTCTGCCACATTGGCCCTGACGCCCTCACTGTTAAAGCTTAAACGATTCCTCCTGTTCGCACCATCAAAGACAACAAAGGAAGAAGCAGAATTAGAACTAGTAGAAGCTGCGCCCCTCGACAGGGTCTGGAGCACATTAGGCATTAAGGGGGAGTTAGAAATGCTTTGGTTTGAGAGAGCAAGGTCCTTTTTGCTGCTACTACCTGCCGCGGCCCCAGGCTCCTCGTGGGGCCTGTCCTCCAGTTCGTCGTCCAACTCACTCGGAAAGAGTCCTTTGCAACCCTCGTCTTCTTCCTCCTCCTCTTCCTCCTCTTCCTCTTCCTCCTCCTCCTCTGCCTCTTCTTCCTCCTCTTCCTCCTCCACCTCCTCCTCAGCTGGCTCTGCTTTCTCGGAGAAGCAATCCGGATCACCCACTTCTTGCTTTTCTCCTGCTGCTGCCCCAGAGTCCTTGCCCTCTGAGGATTTGGTAGGACTGGAGGCCAGAGGCCCCAGGGGGACTGAGGTAATGGGGGTCTTCAGGACCGAGCTGGTGAGCCCGCCAAGGTTCAAGAGGGTGCTGGGGGTCAAGATACCAGCCTGGGGCTGCTCAGGGCCAGCAGCAGAGCCAGCTGGGAGAGCCTCCTCCCCTTCCATTCGAATGCCACTAAATTTACCATAAAAACTGTGTCCGGGGCCTATGAGGTTAGCTGTGGAAACTAAAGGGTGTTGAAAGTTTTTGTTTTTTGGTTCCAGAAAACTTACAAGGGGTTCCTTGTCTTTGCCAATCCCTTGGATGATAGCGGAGATGTTCTTATTGCTAAGAATTTTCCGCTCGTCCTCACTCAGGGTCATTCGATGGTCGTGCACCGCGTGGGTCACGAAGGAACGGACGTACCCAAAGGACAGTTTGCACAAGAAACACATCAGGATGGGCTTCCTCTTGCCGTAAAGCACAAAGCCATCGAATTTGGACAGGTCCACATTGTTGGGAACATCTTTGGATACGCAGGAGCTTTTGGCAGAGCCGTCGCTGTTCAGGTAATCCTTGTTGCTTTTGTGTCGCACGTCAAAAACGCGGAAGCTGTGCAGGACAGGGCTGAGCCCCGTCAGGGCTGAGGTATTCGGGAAAGCCTGGTCTGGGCCCTCAAACCATTTCCCGAAGGATGAGGCTATGTGGAAAGTGTTGATGATCTGTGGGTAGACTGGTGCAGCACAAGAAGGGTCCCCTTGTTTGCCCCCCACACCGGGGAGAGAGTTCAGAAAGAGCGAAGGGAGAGGCCCACTGCCACTGCCACAGGCGCCCCCGCTTTGGGTCAGCTGGCTCAGGCTCTCGACAATGTAGGCCGAGCCATCCGGCTGGTAGACTATCTCCCCAGCCAGGTTCTCCACATCACTCTCCTCGTCCCCCTCCTCACTGGTGTCGCTCCCGCTGTCCTCTCTCAGGGGCAGCGGGGGGCGCGTGCTGGGGCAGTGGTGCTCCATATAGGTCTGTAAGCTGGCGAAGGAGGCCGAGCATTCGTTGCAGCTGACCTCCTTGCCAGCGGGCTCGGCGGTGGGGCCGGCCGAGGCGGTGCTCTCCGTGAGGCGCTCATTGAACGGGGCCCTCAGGCTGTCCAGGGGCCCGTGGTTCTCGCTTGTGGACTGCTCCATGCCACTGGGTTTGTCGGGGAGGTGGGTGCTGTTGAGTTCAGTCCATTGCTGGTGCTGAGGGATACTGCACCCATTGTCCTTCCCCGAGACGACAGGCGAGTCACAGCCTTCCATGGTAAGGCCTGCGTGGAGCTTTCATTGCACCCAGTACGGATCGGACCTGAAGAGCGGAGGCAAGGGGGGAGAGGAGGGAGAGAGGGGGAAGAGAGAGAGAAAGGAAAGAGGTTAGGAGGGCTGAGGCTAAGGTCCCGCACAGAGCACTCTAACAGGTTCTGTCCACACCCACAACAGAGACCGCAGGGGCAGCAGGGACCCCAGCAATCGCCCCATGCCATCCAACTCGCAGAGGGTAGGCGGCATCCCAGGTGTCACGGCCGGGGTCCACTGCAGGAGCAGGGGGCACGGGGAAGGGGACATCAGGAGAATCCCTCTTTGTCTTCAGATTGTTGGCTGCTCTACCCCTGGAGACCACTTCGACTTTCTGTTCTTTGCAAGCACAGCATCAGGGTTGGGCGACAGCCACAGCTGAGAATGACCACATCATCTCGCCAGGCCCCGCCTAGGACACAGAAGGGCAGGCCCACCGCATGTGTTCGGCCAACCCAGAGTGCCCCCTGGCTGCCCACGCTGTCTGTGGGCCAGGGGAACACCAGGGAGGGACGGACAAGAGGCGGAAGATTTGGCAGCTCCAGAAAAAGGATGGTAAACCTGTGCAAGGATAGACTGATTTAGAGGCGAGGTCGCTGTTGATGCTTTTACCAATCATGTTTCTAGCTTGAGAAGTTCAAAGAAAAGCATTTGAGGGCTGCATGGCTCAGATGGCAAGTGTGCAGGCCTAGACACACTCCGCAAAGCCCCCCTGAAGGCCCACGGCTGCCCTCTCTGGGTCTGGAAATCATCGTCCCGTTTTACAAGGAGTAACACTGAGGGGCAAAAATCTTAAAACCGGCCCCATGCCGCCCTGACACTGTGAAACAGAGGAGACAGATCTCCGAATTCCCATCTCCTCCCCACAACGGGTAGAACACCCTCATTTGTGACTCAGCTTGGCTTCAGACTCAAAACATGTAGGTGCAAAACATGAGCTTGACATTTCCAGGGGGAACCTCCCAGACTCTGTGTGAGCTGACTCCCCCTCCTGCAGCATGGAGATTGCCCTGTCTGGATGGAGCCTGGTCACCGCACACTGGGTGTTTTTTGCTGTCGGGATCTTAGCAGCAAGCCGAGACAGCAGTTGGGCGACTCGGCCAGCCCCTGTTCCACACCTGCATCTGAGTTCTTAGTTGCTCCCCAAACCGCTGTCCTTCAGCCCTGGGGCTTTTCCGTTTCCGACTCCAAAGTGCCACTGAGCTGAATTTGCCCTCTGAGACCTAGCGTTCCTGGAGAGGGAGCCATCAGATCACCCGCCGCTGCTCGGCTCCTGTGGCAACAGCATCACAGGGGTATTTCTTCTATCCAGGCACTGCTCCTACAGGCAACTCAGAGCTTCACACGCCTCGCCTCACACAGCCCTGATCCTCGCCAGCAAATCCCAGGCCACCCTCCCCCCACCCCCACGCGCCTCCTTCCTGGAGAACACTTGGCTGCTTCTCCACCCACCATCTCATTCATACACAGCGGATGGAGGTTTTGGCTGGGTTTGGTCTCCCTCCCCTTGCCCAACCCCCATCTTCCCATTCTCTTTTCATTTCTTGATTCTTGACTGCACAGTGAGCCAACAGCTCCCCCTCGGGAAAAGATGGGGAAGGCAGGTTTACCAGAAGTCTTAGGAAGAATAACAACTTTTTGGAAGAATATGTTATGTTTTGTTTAAAACACACACACACACACACACTCCACCTCTCAATTTATAACCTCAAACTCCATTACGACAAAGTTCTGTGTGCCTGAGAAAAAAACATATCGATTTTAAACAAAGATGACTACACTAAACCAAACCAAACAGCAAATGCGATGGGACTTCCTCGTATAGCTTAGCTGGCATACAGGTGAGAATCCAGGGTGGCTCTCCTTAAGAATGTCTCTGATTGGCTGGACAACATCTGATTGACAGCTTGGGCCAACAAGGTTGGCAGGCCTGAAGGGGCGGGAGGGTTAACAGCCCGATTGTAAAATCAATGTCATAAATGCTTGGTAAGTTACAGGAACATGCGGGAAGGGGAGGCCACGATTGATAAAGGAGAACAGCTTTGATGCTTCACCAGGGACTTGTGTATCGACAGCAAAGCCAATCTCCTCTCCAGCCGGGGCTGGGCCAGAGAAACCTGCAAGCGTTTACCAATTAATTGGTGGGCTTTTCTTGCTGTTCTCTTCTTCCACAAATCACACACTTAAGGGGTTGGGACTTTTAAAAACTCGCCTAACTTCTGCCCAAACAAATGGTGTCAAGAAAGGATGACACCGTGGCCACCTCTGAAAGACAGATGACCCCCATGGGTGGTGACACATGGTCCCCCCCATGTAAGGGGACATGTGGGAGACTGCCAAATAACAGGGAGTTACAACCCATTCAGACATGGGTCGGAAGGAAGGGTCCCGCTTCAGGCTCTAAGCTGCCTGCTCTGGGCTTCATTTCAGTGCATGCTGGCCGTGGCGAGCAGGGCCTTTTACCGCCTTGCTAAGCAAAGTGTGGATCAAGGACAAGGAGCACTGTCTTCACAAGGGAGGCTGTGAGAAATGCAGACTCTCAGCTCTGCCCAAGATCAGAATCTGCATTTTAACATGATCCTCAATGAAGGCGTGTTATTAAAGCCTGAGACGCTCTCTGCTTCGCCACATCATCACCAGACCGCCAGCTTGTCCATGCTTTGTGCCTGTACTGCGAGGTGAACAGGCTGGGTGAGTCTCGGGCTCCCCTGCCGGTCCCTGGGAGGTGCAGGGACAGGGGTAGTCAAGAAACGACCAGAACACAGAGATGAAGAAATCTCTGAAACAGCCCGATCCTTCAGCTCAAGGACCTCAGGCCATCCACCGCTCTCCCACCCGGCTAGCCGTCCCTCTCGCTCTGTTTATCAGCCAGTCAATAAGAAAAAGGTAGTTCTTACTTAAGGAGGCAGAAGTCAACTCGGCAGGTCGATCAGCACTCTGTCTGTAAACACGGTTTCCCGTAAAATCAATGATCTTCAGTTACAGAGGGCAGCCTGGGAACCCAGCGGGTCCCCATACTCTCACAGGCAGCCCCGCCAGCAGCTCTGTTCAGAACCCCCACCACCCCCAGATCTGGGCCTCCTTCTTCATCCTTCATCCATGCCAGGGCCAGCTCACACATCACAAACCCTCAACCCTTCCTGCAGCCTGCTTCTCTCCAGCCACTTATACCCCGCAAATTCCCTTTAAATATAGATGCGTTCTACCCATGCCCACCAATATTGTACTCAACATTGTTTGTTTTGTGGTTTTAAGAATTCAGTTAAGATTTCAAAATGGCACATCTCTACGATAAGCGTTAAAGGGAAGATACAGGAGAGATCCAGTGCTCATGCATGCTCTCCCCCTCTCTCTGCTCTTAACTCTGCCATTTGGCCATTTGAGAAGTCATCTTGTTCAGAAAAGTTGCAACATTTTCATCAACAACCCCCCGACCCTTGCTCTTCTTACAAGTTAGTTCCCTTGGAACCTACCTGTAAAGCTCCCTGCATCTTTGCAAATATCAGTCTTTATTTTTCAAAGTTTGTTTAAAATGATAAAACTCCACTGCATTACCCTGGGGGCCCCCATTAACAAAGTCATCCATCTCCCTCTTTCAACTGAGAAGATGTGATATGACAGTTTTATCACATTCCTTTAAGGAGACAGGCCTGGGTTCAATGCAACAGTTCGAGGGAAGCTGGGTGGAGAGGAGGGGGTGCAGTTATTAGAAAGGGGAGGGGCCTCCCGCTGTTGCTCTAGCTCCCAGAGAATTAAACATGAACAGTCGCACTGTGTAATTTTAAATTGTTAATTAGCACAGGGTTAATTAGGCGGTCCTTTCACAAGAGGCTATTTGGCAGAAAACCAAGAAAGGAAACAAAGGGGTAGAAAAGAAAAACAAAGACAGAACCAAGACAGTGAGACACTGTTGCCTCTGTGAGTAACCCATGAAGCATCGCCAGAGAGAAGTAACCCGGCAGGCAAGCAAGGCCCCATCCCAGGGACTCCCTGCTCTGCTGGAGGGGCTGTCGACGGCACCTTCCTCCTGAAGCAATTTGGCAGTAGGTAACAAAAGCCTCAAAAATACACATACCCTTGGACTCGGCAATTCCTCCCATTCTAGGAAACAACCCAAGATATCCACAGAGACATAAGATTATTCATCACAACATTTGTAATGAAAAAAAAAAGATGGAAATAATCTGGCGAAACAAGGGACTCTCTAAATTAATAACAGTGCATAGAGTTCCATAGGATGTTTTTTTTTTTAAAGAAACTATTTACAGGCGTGGGAAAAATGATCACAGGGGATGCTAAGTGAACAAAGCATCTATAGGTCTGCATATGGAAATGCATGAGATTTATATCAAAATTATATGATGATAATTGCTAGGGAATGAGGTTATGGGCGACTTCATTTCCTCCTTGGTGCCTTTATTTCCCAGAGCTTTTTAAAATGAAAACCATCATCAGGGAAGCCATCATCCCTGGAGTTAGGCATCGTGTTAAGCCCCGTAGGTATAGCACCACCTCAATGCTCATTACCACGCTGTGAGATGAATGCTATTTTTATCCCCATTTTAAGATGGGAAGAACTGAGGTTGTCCAGGTTATGCAACTTAAATAACAAAACCATATCCTGGCTGTGTGGAGTCCATATTCTTAGCCACTCTACTACATTATTTTCTTTAATGCCTATTTCTCTCTCTCTTTTTTTTTTTAAGCTGAGCCATCCTGCCACCTGTTGGCAGCTCAGCAGCAGCTCAGCTTAGACCGGGACTCGAACTGCTGTTGCTCAGAGTTTAATGCCTATTTCTCAAAGAGAACGCCTGAATGTCCCTATATCTGGCATTTGCATTCAATCTTTATGTACCCAGGGGCTGCTGTAAGGTCCTGGGATAACTGGATTGCTATGTAAAACATTGCCAATTCATACAACACCTTTTATATGCTTGGTAGTGGTGAAGGGAGGAGTTCAATGGACTTCTTTACTTGGATATCTTCACACAGGAAAGGGGATAAAAGAAGCAG